GGGAGCCGCTCTCTGCCCTGGGCCCCGCGGCCGGACATCCCTAACTGACACCGCTCAGTCCGGAACAGGCAGTTACGGCCTTGGCCTTCCTGCTTGTCCACATGAAAAATGAGTTTTATAAGCAAAAACAAACAAAAACTTGCACCTACTGGCAGGCTAGATTTACTCTTCTAGGCTTTTTCCGGCAATACTTAACGGTTGTGTGAGAGGCAAAGACGTTTAGGCAGAGTCCGCAGAGTGCAATGATACATTGAAAAGATGCCACATATTCCAAAACGTAAATAAATTAAATAAAAGTCCATGGCATTTTTGGTATTATTAAAATAAATTTAATATATTTTTTAAATTAAAAAATCGAATCTCTCCATTAAAGACACTGAAGTCAGGTGCTAATACTGTCAGACATACCCTTTTGGCATGAGATTTACATATAGTTTAAGATTTTATGCATTGCTTCAACATGTTAAGAAACCGTCTTTTCATACTTACAGTAGCAATAAAGTCAATTCCATACAATATCAAATATCCTTTTTAAAAAAAAGTTTTAAATATATTAGACTCTGATTGCCAAAATGCCATTTTATACACAAAGCTGCTAATACAATATACAGTTCTTACATTATTTTTTTCACATAAAATACATCTCATCAAGTTTTATTTGTACATCATTTACTACCGATCGATGGAATTATGAATTATTGCAGAGGGCTTCCCACCATTTTTAAATATCCTGGATACGCAGCAGTCAAACGTAGCTGTAGAAGGGTTGCAGATGCTGTCGTTCATTCTCCCCCCGCACAGGGAAACGCACGCTGCAATCTATAGGCTGAGCAGCTAGAAGGGGCTATGCTAAGGCTGCACTTGCTCCCAAAACCTGTGTTTTCCTCTGCAGCTGCAGGTGGAGATAACTGTACTGGTGTAGGATTGGTGTCTTAAGCACTGCCTCCTCTACGACAGCTTCCACGCTTGAAATGTAGCAAAATATTCTAAGTCCTAATTTTGCCACGACGGATGTCGCCGAAACATCCCAGTCCTACTCTAATCGTGTAGGAGGCCTGACAAGTCCATCTGCAGTTTGGCCAACACAAAAAAGCTGAAGAACAGCCAGGAACTACCACCGTATGGCCGCAGACCGACACCAAACTGCGTTCGGTAGTAACAGGTTAGCTCTTGCTACTACTGTTGTGTTCCGGAGCCTGCCTGCAGAGAACTGCTGTAACAAGGTTGGCTGATGCAATTTGTTAAATTAAGATGAAGTCCTTGTGCATTTGCTGTCTCTGTGTCGTAGGAAGAGAGAAATGGTGATCATGAGAGAAATGAAAGAGCAAATGAAATTTGCAAAATGCCATAAGCTGTGAACAGTTTTCCCTTTGCAAAATAATATTAAAATTCAAAACAGCATTGTATATTCACCACAAACATTTCAGAGACTAGTCACTGAGCCACTTTTAGCAAATATGATAAGGCACAGCTTTATCCAGACAGAGGGAGAACACCTTCCAGCAGACAAGAGTTAATCTGCTATGGCTCTTTGCTTTCTCAGGTAAGAGATTCCTATTTCATGGTATTGCTGATTTTGTTTCAGCAGAGAAGAAAAAGGGGAAACAGAGGTCCAACATTAGATCGAAAAGGACACTGCGCAGAAGTCAACCTCCCAAGTGGGAAACGTGGGAGATAAGTGCTCTCATCTGCAACCCCATGAAATAACCCCCTGCTCAGTATACTGGAGAATTCACTGCATCTGCTGGGTATTGCACTGACTCGTTATTGCTATTTCCCTGCTATGCTCTCCTCCTCCTTCCCTAACAAGAGTTTCTCAACCATGTGACATCATGCCTACAAGATGGCATGCAATCACATGAGCTAGAGGCAGTTCTTTCCAAAATGGGGAGGATTTCCAGGTCTTGGAGCACCACAGACGTGAGACTAACTGGGCTAAAATTACATCACTTAGTTAGTATGTGAAATACAGATCTAGGACTGAAGTCAAACAGATCCCAGCAATTGTATTTAAGCCCATGTCTAACAATTCACTGCTGGGACTTCCTTGGTGGAGCTCAGTTAGGCAAATACACTAGTCTGAGAGACACTGTTTTGCATCTGAATAAAGTCTTTCAACATGGAAAATAAAGCTGCCTCTCATCAACCAGTTAGTTTGCTAGAAACTGTATGACTTCGGCATATACGAAGATTTTTCAAGCAGGAGGGTTGTTCCTGCGTGCACATCTGCCCACAGTGCCTAACAGTGGAACCGTCACCACGTCCACGTTCTCGAATCTTTGAGTGGGTCTGGATGAACAACTACAATCTTGGGCTTACAGCTAATGAAAGCAGGACTCTAATCCGACCTTGAATTTGTAGTGAGATCTTTACAGAAAGGTATAACATGCCCAAATCTTTCTCTAATAATCCAAGTGCTATATATGCCAATCACAACATCTCTTCTAGTTTCTACAGCTTTTTAGCAATATTCAGATCTCCAGTGAAATAGTCAACTACCTTCTGCTGTGCACCTCAGAGCCTTCCACTGAGATGGCCTTGTTTAAAAGGCATGGATATGAAAAGCACTATAGTTATAATACTGCTAAATTTTGTAATAAGAAGCCCTGTTCCTACAGGCAGGCTCCTGCAACGCACATACTAGAGTATCTGTGCCCCACAAAAGCTTGTTTGTCTCTATAAAATAGTTAGCCAGAGGCAGGTTAAATCCATTTTACAGAATTGCTCATCCCTGACCTAGTACCAAGAACTCTGCATACACCGTAAATTTTCAGTTCCTTCCCTAACCATTATCTGCAAAGTCCCACAGGCAGCGATCATTATATTCAGAATGTCACCCACACATAAGCAGGTAAAGCATCAGTCCATTTTGGGTGGTCCTCAGCAATCTTTGCAAGTCCCACTTTGATGTAACTTCCAACCCAAAGCCAATGGTAGGTAATCAGTTGTCTTTGCTGTGAAACATATCCTGGAATATTTATCAGTTATTGACTCTCCTTTCTGAGTAAGAATCATTTGCATTTGATCAGACACCGCTAGAGCATGTTAGCTTATAGCGATAAAGCCAGAAGAGCTGCATTACTGCCAATTTTACAGTTACAATATAACAATAAAACATAACAATATTTTAATTAGCAATAAAAATATAACAATAAAAAGTCATATTACAATATAACAATTATAAAACAGGGATGTTTTATAATCTAGAGCCTGTAGCATCTTTCTCCTGACTGTAAATCAATTGTTGCTTTGCTCAAGATCACAGCTAGAATAATGAATTCCTGGAGTTTTACATATAAATAGAGTGACATACTGGTGAACCAAAAGTTATTTGTCTAAAACAGACTGGCTTTATGCAGCTTTAACATTTTAACTACTCACAGGGAAAGCAAGCCTCAATGACCTCACACTATTGCATTCAACTACCTGCTTTTAATTTGCTTGGAGATATGTAAGGATTCAATACACTTAATAGCACAAAATTGCTCTGAGAAGGAAAAGGGCCTGACTCCTCCTGCCCCTGGGAGGGAAAGCATCAGCTGGGCCCAAATTTTGCCCTGCTTACAACCTAGTGGACGGCAGCACTGACGGTTGTTACGCCGACTCCTGAAGATAGGACCTGGAGAGACTACCCCCAACACCACAGCAGAAGGGAAGCATCTGAAAGACCATCTTCTCTTCTTCAGCAACACCTAGGCTACACCTGATGTTATCCCAGAAGAATTTTCTTTAAGGCAATCACAACACCCACTCTTAACTACACACAGACCTGTAAAACCTCCAGCTACCAAACCAACTTCTTTCAACTAAAGAGTGACTTTTTAATTCCCTTAAGGCTCAGTAAAGCACAAGAAGTATTTTCAAGTTTTATACTTGTGTTCAAACAACAGAGGGACAGAGTGGCAACTTGTACAGATCAGCAGAAACCAGGAGATTAGTCAAAATGGGGCAGAGGTGTTAAGCAAGCTACCTGGGTATGGGTCAGAGGGCTCACTTTCTCTGAATGTTTCAAAACATGCCAGGAAACCCCTACCCTTTAACTGAACTGAGGATTTAAAAATATCAGACCAGCTGCTCCCATTTTCTAATTTGTTCCTAAAACTGGTAAAGGAAGAGAACTGAATCCTCAGAGTTGGAAAGAAGAAATTGTCAGCCTGTCAATAACCTCAAAGATCCAAAACTACTTCCAGTACAGCTTGGGTTTGGTGGTGACGTATACTCATCTCTGCTGCTTGGAAAAGCAGAGAGAAGGAAGGGCCCAGATCCCTGCATCATGATACCCAGCTTCAGAGCCAGGCTCGATTTCACAGCTAAGCTCAGCCGTGATGTAAACTAAGGAGAGAGCATTCCCCTATGCCCCTATTCCCCTATTCCACCTGCCTGAAACACTTCTCGGAGAGAACTGTCTGCTTGCTCCTTCACTTCCTTCACTTTCTTTTCCTGATAGGATTGCAGACTGGTTCCCATCTCTCTCATTACTTACACCCTTGACTAGACCTTTAGTTGCAGAACAATGTTTCTGGTTGATGGGGAGAGGCGGGTAGCAATTAACAGTCCCTTTTAGCCTAAATAAGCTTTTTATGGCCTAGAAAAAAGGAGGAAAGGATGTGAGAATTCCTGGACAGGGAATCTATGTGTGAATTCTCTGCAAAGGAACATGTCATACTGATGTGCAGCTGCCAGCCAAAAGGAAGATGGGTGGAAGCTGCATTTTCTGTTGTGTAGCTGAAGCACAACTAAATTGCTGTGAGCAGGATTTCACTTACAGAAACAGGCTTATGCTTTCAGAGCTTGCAATGTAAACTGCCCAAGAAGACACATAGTCATGCAGGCAAATAGTTAGGCATGCAATAGCCCCTCTGTGCAGAAAAGAGTTTGAAGAATTACAAATACTTCTGCAGATACAACTGGTTAACTCAGCTGTGGCCTGTTCCTCTGAGCTGTCTCTCAAGGGGCACTCTCCTTTTACCTCCCTCTTGTATGCAAAGACTGAATTTTCTGAGGAGCCAGTGCCAAGACCCCATGCGACACCACGCTAGCGTTTCTCAGGTAGCCTGTCAGGGTTAACGCTAGCTATGTTAAAACACTGGTGTTGGCATGCCAACCTCTCTCCCACAGAGAGGCCCTGGGGGCCCTGGCCACTACTGCATGGTGCTTGGTGATGGCTTTCACTCCAAAAGGGAGTTTGACTCTTTTACGTTTACAATATATAGACGCCTTTAAGCCTTGTTCTGACAGCTACTAACCACTGCTGATGAATTCAGCGTGAAAGCTGGAAGAACAAACACAATCCAGTCTCCGCCCTACTGCAATGTTCAACCACCAAAGCAATGATTTAAGTTACCTGTTTATCAGTCAAAGAATGCAGGTTAACACAAGTGTCATAAAATCTGGGGAGACTAGAAACGCTTTCATGACATTTCTGGATTAGTGTAGGCAAGCCTTTTCTCCTCATCCCTCCCAAAGCCCTGCGGTTCTGGAAATCCAGAAAAATCAGAACGCGAAGCCTACTGTAGTACTCCAAGTGTCTGTGTTGAGCATATAGAGTAAACAAACAGAATCAATAGGAAAGTGAGATCAGCAAAAGTCTGTTCAGTTTTAACAAATTAAGAGCTTAAATAGTACAAATAAGTTTTTTAAATTACTTATCCCAATATAGACCTTTGTCAGTATTTTATTGCAGTAAAATTCTATTGCCGGGGCCCCTTATTGCAACATCAGTTTTAAAGCCTGTTCAGTGAAGCCTCTTACATGAAGGGTTCTGCTTAAAACCTGATGACAGTCTGCAGTGACTGGTTTACATAAGCAGAACAGGACTCAACCAGTGCACCGTTTTTGAAGGTGAGCTGTCACTGCAAGGAGACAACACCTTGCAACTTCCTACAGCAAGTGTAGTATCTACACTTGCTTGTTGCTCAGCTCCTGGTTAAGTGTTGGATCCAGCTGCACAGACAACGGTTCTGTCCACTCTTGCAAAGCCTGCGTGGGGGCTGACCTCCCTTCCAGGGATATCTGCATTGCACCCGAGAGTGAAAATTCAGGTCTGAACTGTCACCTTCCAGAAGCTTGTTGGCTTACAGCAAGAGGCTCAAATGCAAAGATTTTAAATCAGGCAATTTCTTCTTTCCAAGCCATCTCATAACTTTCCAAGGATGAGGAGGCAGTGCAGCGTACCTTCTTCCCCAGTGAGCAAGCCTAGGGTGGTTCTTTTTACATTATACTGATGTGCATCCATTCCTCTCCTATGAGACTTGCTCCTCCTGCATTACTCATTCCACGGCAATGGAAGTAATTGGCAGGGTAAAGTACAATTCAACATGAACAAGGCTGCCGCAGTCAGGATGTCCATAACCCAATCCTCCCCTTGGAATGCAAACAACCGGACCTCTACGATAGATCCAACCAGCCCACCCACATCGGGTTTCCTCTGGGTTGAGTAACAGGTGAGACTAGGAAATTCTGCAGCACCCGTGCACCTTCTCTTCCATTTCCTCCATGGGAGCTTTGAATTTCAAGAGGGGCGGATCACCACTGGACACTGTGTAATACACTGAAGTCCCATTGGTGCTGTAGGGAGAAGTCCTGGATCCGATCAGGTGTGACTTGGCCTCACTCCCATTCTCGGCTACACCTCCCACGCCGCTGCCAAAGTGGGTGCTGAGGAAAGGGTGATTGAGGAGTTTGGCTGCAGCCCGCTGCCGCTTAAGTTCGGAGAGCGTTTGATGGCTATGCTCCTTGTAGGCACCCCAGAGCTGCTGCGTGTCAGGGAGCCCCGGGCTGACATAGGGCAGCATGTGGCCTGGATTACTGTCGGGGTCAGCGTGCATATTCCAAACGTCCCCGTTGGAAAAGGTGTACTGGTAAGTGCTGGCAGATGCCCTGAGTCCATTCTGGAGGGGGATTTCAGAGTCGCACTGGGTGCTTTTGTTTGCTAACTCAGGAAGGAGGGAAGAGTTCTCCAGTACTGAATTCTGTAACAAGAAAACATTAAAGAAAAGCATCTTCCCACGCCCGACAGCATCGTTCATCCCTGCAACAAACTCCTAAGTCAATTCATACACATGGTCTTTCCACTGGACAGGAACTGCAGGAAAAAACACTGAATTCACCCATCACCAGCACTATATAATGCTGTGAACTCCAATCAGGAACATGGCAACTTTAACTCAGAAGAAGTCACTTGGAAGAAAAATAATTTTTCATATATATCATATATATGTATATGTATGTATGTATGTATGTATGTATATGTATATGTGTATATGTGTGTGTGTGTGTGTGTTACTATAAAAAGCTTGTTGATATAACATGACAGTACCTGAGTTAAAAACAACCAACTGCAAAGGAAGATTACAATTCTTTTGTGATTACCAGTTTGTTAACTGTAAAGAGAAATACACACATAACAGACAACCATTTTTTCTTACCTCCCTAGCTTATTCGGGCCATATCTCAAACCTGTTTATGCAACTGTAAATCCAAAACAGCCTTGCCGCTTCAGTGGGATATTGCAGTTTATACTGAATGAGAATTTGGTCTTTTGCTTAAATCTGACGGATGAGGTTTAGGAACATTTTCACCCACCTCCCGCCCCAGAGCACCCACTGCTATGCAGCCTGCTTTCCAGCCTGCCCTGCCAGCCCTCCTCTGTGACTCCCGTGGGATAGAAGAGGTTCCTTACGGGGTCTGTATTCTCTTGGTCAGACCGAGTCTCCCCGATTTCTCCAATGAGGCCTGAGTTTCTTTGTTCTTCTGCTGCCCCCATTTGCTGCCAGACGATGGCCTCTTTCTCGCACTCCTTCCTGTACAGGTTTGTTCGGTCCGAAAGGCTAGCCCTCCTCACCACCTTCCTGTCGGAGAGGGGGAAGGAGCATCAAAGCTGTAAGCACGACACAGGCTTTCCTCTTACCGCGAAGCTCTTCTCACATCCTTCTTGCACTCTATACCGTCTCCCATTCGAATGGGACAGGAACGTAGCTTCCTGCACCCATGCCAAGCAGACAAAGGCACTAGTGTGCATATTAAAGGTGGGAGGAATTTTAAAGAGTTTTAAAAGACATACTGCAAGCCTGGGTTAGATCGCATGCAGCTCACCTGATGGATCTACTCTGTAACCAGTGGCGTAAACAGTTTGTTTAGGTCTGCAGATCGCAGCTTGAGACCTGCTGCTTTGATGTCTAGCAAACATCTTATAAAGACTTGTACAGACTGTCTCAACATAGTATCATGGCTGTGAGCCTTATTCTCTATTACTATTCATTCACCTTTCCCTGTACCTTCTTCATTAAAGCTACACCAAGAAGCTCAAATTTGAAGCACTGACTCTCAGACACAAGCATCCATGGTTTTTTTTTTTTTTATCTACGGTAAACTCACCACTTGGTACTCTGTCCAAAGTAGTTCTTAAATCATTACAGTGCAGAGCCATTTCCCCCTGCCAAAAACAAGCACCTCTTGCTAGTGAAAGGACTAGCACCTCCAAGGGATCTCTGCTTTCAACAGCTAAAAGTCTACCTTTCAGGGACTTCATTCCCAAAGGATGGACAGGCTTGTTCTCAGCACATTGACCTTGGGCTGCTTCTCAGTCAGGTCTGGAGAGCCAACCTGCCGGGAGAAACGCGCTTACCCCCGGCTGCCAGTGCTGGAGGTCCTTCGGCTCAGGGAAGATTTATGCCTCAGCTGAGATTTCATGATCACATCATGTTTGTGTTTCAGCTCCAGAAGTAATACCTTGAACTCCTCCTCTTCACACAGATCTAAGGCACATATAAACCAAGCCATTAGTCAGGCTGTTCAAATGTGGTACCATTACCACCATGTAACTCACTGTGCCTTCCTGGTACATATGCCTCCAAATGCTAGGAGAATGAGAAAGGGAATTTAAGCAGAGCGGGCTTAGGCACACGTGTCACCAAAGGGATTAGGGGAGACAGAATGGTTTGGACACCTAAATAGCATCAGAAAACAAGACCTGTCGATTGTGACAGGGATGCAAGTATGCAATGCCCCAGCTATTCAGCCAGGTTTTGTCCTATCTCTAGCAGTACGCTGTGCCTTTACCCATGAAAGGGTAATAGATATAATGGCCACTGTCTTAACACTTCAGAACGGGAGGAAAAGAATTTCAGCAACAAAGAGACTGCAGCTCCCCTGAATAAAGCACCTTTCCTTAAGCGTCCGAAAGGATAGAGAGTAGATAAAAGCGGAGCAGGTGAGGGAGGAAGACAAGAACTTTCATTCTTCAGAACAAGGATGCACAGATTTTCAGCTAAGGCTCAGAAAACCTTTGGCCAACAGGAAACGTGGCACAACGTTATAATGCACATGGCTGGATGCTAGCACTTTGGCATTTTCACTTCCAGTCTGTTCCAAGACTTCTGCATGTTTTCTCTTTCCTCTTCAACCCCAAATAGCTTATCACATTTTGTCGTATCAAAGCAGAGTTAGAGAGGCCCAAGTTTTAGGGCTAAAGGTATAGAGGGATGACATGAATGGGTCAAACACACAGGACAAAAACTGTATCCCTTCTTTTTTATGGGCAAGAAGGAGCACCTTCAGAAGTACCCAGAACAAATTAGACACTTTAAAACTTTAATCCAGTTAAAGTCACTGCAACTTCGATTCTAAAGACACCTGAAAAATGAAGTGCTAACACTTTTGAAAGCACTGTCTGAGGACTCTAGCAGGCTTAGGGGGGAAGATCTCTAAAAGCTTCATTTCTTAGTGGCTTTGATCTCTTTTTTGAGCTTAGCAAACTCACCTATTGGCATCTCATCCAAAGATGTCCTGGCACTCAAACTGGCCCCATGGGATACAAGCAACTCAGCCATCTGCATCTAAAGAAAAGGAAAGAAATCAAAGTTGATAGTGGTATTTTTGGCAGATGTTTTCTGCCTCAAAGCTGAAAAGTTAGAATAAGTTAAGAAGCAATTGCATGCCTGATCAACTGGCCTAAAATCATTCTCGTATACATATGATGTTAAACATAGCTACTACCATTCAAGCTGCACAGACGTGCAGGCTTTCTCAGCAACAAGTTCTTTTTTGGTACCACGAAATATCTTATCTAACACCATCCTGCGAGTCCAGCTCTAGTATAGATTTCTTCCGTTTGTGGAGAACTCCACAATTCACCCAGGCAGAAAGCCCTTTACGGCATCCTCACCCATGACATTTGCCACACAATGATTACCTGGCCCCAAAAAGCAGCAGCATGGAGAGGTTCCCAGCCATCCCAGTCCTTAACATCCAGGCTTGCTCCCTGGTCAAGAAGGACTTCAGCTGCATGCAGATAACCATTGGCTGCAGCTATATGGAGCTAGGAGACAAGGAACAGAGCATGAACAACCTGCAAGGACCATGACTGCTTTTTGCCATGTTAAGTTTCAGTGGAATTTCTTGGATAATGCCTGAGTTTAAATTTGGACTCTCAGAACATTTTACGTTTGGCAGATGCATTTCCATCAAGTCAAAGACAGACTGTTTCCTGTATGCTGAATCTCAGTATTACCTGCATGTAATTCTCTTTGGAGAGGAAACTGCTAAACAGTTCCTAAAATCACCTACATATGTGCGTTAGAAAGAAGAACAGTTTCAATTTTTAATCAAGCCTTCTAAGCACGTTCCAATCTGTGAGCAAACAGCACCATCAAAATGAAAGCCTGAAATGGGGAACACCAGCCCCGCAACCTCTGTGTTCTTCACGACAAAAGAGTATCTCCTCTTCCTTCACTAAGGGCTGTGGATATGATTTTTTTGATTAAATTTTCAGTCCTGCTTTAGCCAGGACTGCCTTCATGCAAGTGCACTTCCATTCATGCAATCTTGCTTTCACCATTTAAAAAAACCAGACAACTAAATCTTTGGCTACTTGTAGTTAAGGGGGTCTGATTTCTCAGATATGGGCTTCCAACTGCATCCATCACTTCTGAAACATCAATAATAGTCTCCTGTACTTCACCAAAACACTTCATATCTCTGGGGATTTTCTTAATACTTGTCTGCTGCTACATCTCCCAGCAAAACATTGCTCTGTGAGCTATTCTGGAAGCATGAACACCACTCAGAGCTCATTGCATTTCAGCTAAGCTGAAGAGGAGAACAAAAGCTTCTTTATTTACATTTTCCACATGGATCCCACCGCACAAAATTCAACTGTCACCTGGAAACAAATGCTGATGCATTCTGGCAGTTCATCTAATTTCTACATAGATTTTATGGTAGTGGGTCATACCTTCTGGAGGTCATATGAATTAATAAGGAAACACTTAACTTTCAGTAATAATCTGAACAGCAAATGCAAGCTTGAGTGCAATGCTGAGAGTTGGTAAAATCGTTAACAATTCTCCAGGGGCTGGAGGGCAGTGTCACAGCTAAAATCTCTACAAGGAAGGCGGGAGTCATACAAAAAGGGAAGTCAAGAGGTCTGCTTCAAATTATATAAAATATAATCCCTACTTAAGGGAGAAACCTGTGAAAAAATAAGCTGCAATAAAGACTTCAGACATCCAAGTCTATCTGGGAGGGAGCCATCCCTCTCCTTGACCCTAGCACTACACCGCTGGTATGTGCCATAGGTGACAGTTGAGAGCAAGAAACTTGAAACTGCTAGGATTTGGTCAGAAATATGCCATCAAATAGCTCAGGTATGAGTTACCTCTGGACCCAAGCATCAAACAACCTAGGTAGTATGCAGGTCCCAGAACGTATGACAGCATTACTGAACTTTCCGTAAGTCTGGAGCACTGTAAGTGAAGGTTTAAGAGACCCGTTGCAAGCAAAAAAGAAGGCAAGAGGGCTAGGACTGTCCAGTCAAACCAGATGCCCAGTGGCCTCGTGCTATACATTGGGCCTGGATGCTCTCCTCTGCCCAGGGGTAAGAGCCATCCTGTGTGAATAAACAGGACACTTACTTCACTCTGCGCTAGCTAGACACTAGGCAAAGCAGAAAGACAACAGAAGCCAGAGTCTCCAGAGGGCCCAGCACCCAATCCTGCTCCCATTAAAATCCGAGGAAACCCCCATGCTCCCATGTGGGAGTCAAGTCAGACAACGGCATTAGCCAGAAGTGAAAAGTTTCTGGGAGGCCTTTCAACCCTCTTTCCCCCGAGCTCAGCACGAGCATCACGTTCTGCACCTCCTCATTGCAGGATTTGCGCCTTTCTTATGAAGCAGCTGCTATCAACCACTGTCAAGACACGACACAGGAGTCCAGCGGCCTTATTACCGCGTCTGAGCTACTGGATGACAGAGCTCACAGGAACAAGGGGACTCTTTTCAAGCAGTGCAGGGTTAGACCCTAGCTTAAGCCAGCTGTACTCGTGGACAGAGCCTGTTCCTATGTGGCAATAAACAGGGAAAAAGACCAACCAGTTTCCTCGCTCCTCTCACTGAACTTGCACCTTGTGATTTTGTATAACCTCCTGCCACAGGGCAGGTTTTGAAACGCGGAGGCTGAAGGAAGACAAAGGTGGAACCGCAGCAGTTTCACTCACCAGCGTAGCACCTTGGGCATCAGTCCTGTTCAGGTCCTCTCCAGTCGCAAGTATGTCATGGATGTCACAGATCATGACCTGCTCCGGTGCGGCCCGCATCTCATTGATTTTTTCCTGTGTAATTCCTGTAAAAATTCCAGTTGGAAAGAAGAGTGGGAAATGGTCTCTGTCTCCACGGGCTGCGTAAAGTTGTATTTGTGATTCCTAGTTCACGTGATTCCTCACCCTTCTCAGAGAGGGCTATATGACTAAGGGGACTGACAGCCGTCCTTTGCCCCTCATCATAATTCAGGAATCAGATAAACTAGGCAGAGTTAGGTTGCAAGAAACTGTGCCAGGCAGCAGCTTTCTGCTTTTCTCCAGAGGCAAATCAAGAGCTGAGGAGCAAGGCAATTTTTAGTACTACATTGGCCCACTTCTGCAGTTTGCAGGTACTCAAGTCTCTTACCTTGATATGCCATACAGGTCTCAATGACATCCAGGGTTGGCTCATCTTCACAGAGGTCATATGGCATGTTGCCATCTGCATTTACAGCCAGTAAGTCTGCTCCACTGCAAGAAGAAAATTGCATTGATATACAAAGAAAGGACCTCAGACATCCTAGAGCAGACAATACCTATCGTTGAGACAGCAAAAACAAAACTGAGGCTTTACAGCTGCCCAAGTGTCACCAAGATTTGTGTAAGATAAGACAAATGTGAAGAGAAGCCATGCAGCTACGAAGAGGGAAGATAAATTCTAGAAGTAGATGCAAGTTGCCTCCTTCATGGGATGCAGGGAACCCGCAGTAACTGAACATGAGCTGCTAACCTTTTCCTGCTCTCCCCTAATCCTACCTCTCTTCCCAGCACTGGACAGACCGGCAGCTTCTCAGTGCTAGAAGTGATTTATTCACTGAATTTCTGGAAAACAATGCCAAGCAACTCCCAGTTGCTTGCTGTCTGGGGGTCTGGCTGTCCTCCAACGAAAAGTTTGCAAGAACCAGAAGAGTTTGGAAGCCTTCAGTCTAGCCAAGGACACATTGACAAAAAATAATAATTAAAAAAAAATCCTGGCAACTGGTAATTTTTTCTTTCTGATTGTTCAAAAGTATTTCTTTCAGTTTGTATCTGTATCAACTCCAAGAGGTCACCTTTTGGAAGCAGAATAGCCAGCTAAATTGATCACTGTCCCTGTAGTCCCACAACATGGTAGAAAATCTGCAGCACCTCTTGAGCTATGCCATTTTAGCTATATATTTAGCAGCCCCACTCAGCTGAGCTCTGATCTGCCTCAAAGGTTAGCAGCCTTTGAAAGAGAGCAGACAGGATCCACTTGCATTTAGATTCCCTTTCCTATTTTTCCCCTCCCTCTGCCTGAGCAGAACAAACTACATCGAAATTCACATTTGCAAAACACTAAGGTCAGCTTAACCGGCAAATGAAAAAAGCAAGGAACTGGATTTATCTTGTAGGCTACTTCCTCTGGTGGTCTTCAAGGGATCCTGGTCCCACCACCAGAAAGACTGCCTTCAGTGTCAGGGCATTTGTTATGCAAGACCTGTTACAAAGCACAACTTTGATCACAGCAGCCCCACACTGTGCTATATACTACAGAAAGTGAATAACCCCAATCCACAAAAGCCTGGGGAAGACTGTTTCGGAGCACAGGATCATGACGTTAGGTTGCTAGAGTCTGAATCTGCTGGCAACTAGTCGACACAGGGCAGGCTGTGGTATCTAGGGGCCCAAGTGTAAGCGCCAGTTTCTCAGCCTGCCACCCATGTCCATGATGCTCTCTTATCCTCAGCTTTCAGTCAGGAATGCACTATATCATTCCACATTTTATTTGTTTGTTCTGTTTTTCTCCCCTCATCTGAAAATGTCCTGTCCCAAGTGGATTGTCCTCCAGGGGACTATTGTTTGCATCCTTTGCCTCATTTCCTTCATTATAAGGACAAAAAGGCAGGAACAAAATTTCGGTGCTGGTCTTCAAAACGACAGCATCCCAGGGAGAAGTGGCCCTGGGGTACAAGCAACAGGCACTGCTTGTGCAAGGCAGCATGTTAATACCCCCAAAGCCTGCTCTGTCCACTACACGAGCGCTCTGCAAACGAAGGAGGAGGCTCCATACAGAGCCAACACTATCCGCTCCAGATAGGGCTCTCAGAAGGTGCTCACTAAATGCTGCTCATAGTCTACCTCAAAACACATCTACCTTCTTCCTCCCCCTCACCAGCAAGACTAATAAAGAGTTAAGCTTTAAGACCTTTCTAAAGGCAAGTGGAAGATCCAGTATGAGCATCCTGTGTCACAGTGGGGGAACACATACGTTACAATAAGCTGACTGGTTACTAATTAAGACCCAGTAAGACAGGCCACAAAGTCCACCCTAGTATTTGAGCTATACGAACATCCTGTCCTCCTGCATCAGCAACTCTTTGTGGCTAGAAGACTTGAAGTGGTGTTTAAAAGCCTGAGAGTGGGTCCTACTGGCTGCTCCTGTTTCTACCCCTTACTGTGAGCACGATTCAACATGCACAAACACAAGCACCTACACACCAGAACACAAGCCACAAGTGGAAGTTTATGCCTGGATCCCAGCAGCTTCACAAAACTTAGTCGAGTCACCTGGGGTTTTACTGCTTCTCCTCAGCCTTTTTCTCTTCCTCTTCCACCCTCTTCCCCCTTCACAGCAAGAAGTCCCATGTATAGCCCAAAAGCAGGGAATGAGCACAACTGCTCCAATCTTGCAGGGTACCAAGCAGTCTCAGGTTCTACCAGCATCAGCAGAAGCTATGGGAAGGATCAGCCTTGCAGGAAGGGATTGACATAAAAAGATACCTACTGTTGGATGAGGATCTTCACCAGGTTGATATGACCACAAGTAGCTGCTGCATGCAACGGAGTCCACAGCTCATTGTCCTTGGCGTTGACATTGGCCCCATGGTTGAGGAGAAGCTTGACTATCTCTTCATAGTTGTCTATGCAGCACTGGTAAGCAAGAGATGCAGATAGGTCATTTTTGTTTTTAAATTTACAGAAGATCAGGGCTCATACCCGCTCTGTACTGCCAGGGTAATGGGACAAGGGGATCTACTGTTTCCTGCAGTGTTTGGCAACCAGAGTCTCCAGTATAGTCACACACCAAATTCAGTACAATCAAGGCAGAAAGCCGTCATGCAGAAGACCTACACTGGATGTACTGAAGGTCACTGGTGTTTTATGAAGCCTTGTGTTTTGGGGGCAGAAGCAGTGGGGAAGCAACAGTAAGAGAGGCACAAAGCTTCTGTGTCACGCGGTCTTTCATATACAAGAGCTGACATAGCAGTTCAGCGTAACACTATATCAAGGGATAAAGCTCAAATTCCTTTTTCCTAGGGAAAATCCCCCACACTGGCATGCAATGAGTAAAAGTCTCAGCAACTCAAACTACTACCACAGTCATGTGAAGAGATTCAAGCTGGATTCCCAAAATTATGAGCGCATTTTTCATTTCCTGAAAAAATTGCCCCTCTTTAAAGTGCATTAAATTGGGCATTTTGACAGCATGTAGAGTCTGATAATTTTATTCTAGTGTTTATTCCTTCTCTTCATAGACTAAAATACATGTACATCTCTTTTGCAAGGGAAGCACACAAATTCTCCCAATGATCCTTCATCACAGGTCTAAAGAACAGGATGAAAAAAGGGCTCTTCTGTTTAATTGCCTCCTTGTGGTGACCCTGTTCCTAAGCACAGGATCCCGGATGCACATACAGCACTGTCCCCCAGGCAGCCTGCAAGAAGGACCTGGACTGCTCCCCTTTGGGGAAGGCTGAATTTGCTCTTTAATCCACCTCACCCTTACTTCCCGACACGAGTGTGTGCATGATAGAGACACTAAAATAAGATTCATCCTTGTGCAGGAAGCCTGTTTAAGGTCTACAGATTACTGAAGACCCAAATTGGAGGTTTAAATAACTCAGCGTTGCAGTATAGGCTTTTAATGGAGCTGAACTACATCCAGAACAAGCGTTTTAGCAGCCGAGTGACAAAGACCCTCTGTGCATTGCTATTTCTGTTTACTATTTATATATGGAAGTGAGGTTAAAATCTTGCCTGTCACCCAGCCGAGTTATCACAGAACCATAAGCTGCAAACTTCACGGGAAGTCACCACTAATGGGCAACCCTATTCATTTGGCAAGCCCTCTCTGTTCAGGGATTCAGTTAACACCAATGAAGACAAAGTCCTCACCTCGCCCCCACCCCCAAAGGCACCTTTACAATAACTGGTCCTTTAGTGGGCTAGCTGGGATTCTCCATGGCTTCAGGAGCTGGCGGTGAAAGCACTGAGCCTGCCGTTGTCACAGGCTGCCTGTGTTTCCCTTTGTGTGCAGGATAATGTCCCTTTGGAGAGGCCATGGCAGGGAGCTTTTATTCCTCTAGAAGCCAGTTTGCATTTTTAAGCAGACATCCATCCAGCTCTGAAGAGAGAAAGTGACTTGCAGAAGCCTCCAAAAGCCCAAGTCAATGAGAGCATTTACAGCAGGGACTAGCGGAGAGAAAACTTCAGAGTCCCTGCTCTGCCTGCAGAGCATGTCCAACAAGCGCTCTACTGTTCCCCTGGGCAGCGGAGGCGGCAGCTGCCAGTCACTGGCCAGCCCACAGGCTTTTGGCACTCCGACTCGCCTGCTGCTTTTGCACTGAAAATCAGGACTCAAGAGGAGGGGTGGGGATGGAGGCCTGAGGAAGATGACCAGAAACTCTTGTGGCATCATCAGCGTGAAGGCTCTCAAGAAGGACAGTATGATGGCTCTGTGCTTTATGGGACATCAGTAGCTGCCGTTTCAAAATGACCTTTAGAAGTCACCGAACCTCTCAAAAGTAGAAAGCACAGCAGATCACATGCAGGCTTTCTAAACATCTTGCACGCCATTTAACTAAACCACTTCCAAAACCGGTGGGTTGCAGTAGTCTCTTGAAAGAATCTGAGTTTACCTACTTTAAAAGTCTGCAGCCCAGCCCTATAAAGAGTGGGAGAAATATCGCTGCTCATGTCTGAAACCAAGCCCAGCTCCTGAGCTCTTACCATCACTGACCAAAGTCTGGGATACAGCAAGAGAAGGGTTTGATCCCAGTTGCTCCCCAGGAACCAGCAATCCCCAGGACAACATGGTAAAAAACTGCTTCAGCTGATGAACAATACAAAATGCCACAGCTTTCTCCATTCTCCACCAGCAGTCAGTCCTGGGCAGGTCCGCTCCAAGAGTCCTGCTCCTCAGGAGGCTGGGAAGACATGACACTGAGAAGCAGCAGGGAGCAGTGACCTCTCCGCAAAGCCTCACCTGATGCAGTGCAGTTAATCCATCCTCATTGCACAGGTCCGGGCTGATATTGCTCTTCAGTAGATAACACACTGGAAGGGAGGAAGACAGGAAGAAAGGAGAATTAGATCAATAATCCTAGCACACCTCTGGGCTTCAGAGAGCCCTGACCACCAGCAAGCAAGAGGACCCTGCACCATCAGGGTGTCTCAGTGCAGGCAGGAGGCAGGAGCTGCCCTACAACTCGCGGCCGAGAGCCCCAACACGGCACAGGCCGCACCGGGGTGCGCAGGCCTTCCCGCTTTCATCCAGTAGAGAGCAGCAGCATACAGTTTTCCCACTAACTTCATTCCAGATGGAGACTTCATTCCTACCGCTTTCATTTTCATACCATTATGCTGGAACAATCGAAATATTTATCTTTTGTTTTGCAACATCTTTGAGTGCAACTTCTCCACACCACAACACAGTAGAGCTTGAAAGCAGTCTGTGATTTTTAGGTCCTGAGTTACCATTGAAACAGAGACCCTACTGTGAGGGATGAAGTCTTGCTTCAAGAAGTGACCAGATCTCAAACAATCCCAAATGCATAGTACGGTCAGAGACACTTCTTAAATACGCTGGGGTTGCTTTGAACGCTTCACATCAATTGTCGGGAATTCGAAGAAAGCTTTCCAGAGGCTTTACTTGCTTATTGCTTGTTTTGCCTTTCTATTTAGGGGTACGAGGGAGGAAAGGATATGATTTATTCCATTAAAAGGCATATTTCTGAAACACCTGGAAAACCATCTGCCCCTAGGTAAAACAAAGTTTGCTGTGGGGTACAGATCTTGCACAGGTAATAGCAATAAGGCTAGTAGAGGAAGCAATCTAATAGCTATACCACAGATATTCCAAATTCAACGTTACAGACAGATTTTTGATGATTCATTTTCTATTTTCTATTGCTACTATTTTCTATTGCTATTTTCTATTGTTTTCTATTGCTTACGTTCTTATTCCCTGTTTTTTCTCCAGAGATTTCACTACCTAAAGCTCTTCCCAGCTAAACGTCACTCAGTGCAGGCATAAGCCAGAGGTCCCTAAGCGTTTCCAGAGGGCCAGCATAGCAACAGATACTCAAGTTCCAACTAATTTGTTGGCAAGGATGCAACCATTAAGAGAAATCAGAGCTGCAAAATAAGGAACACTAATGAGGCTAAAAGGGCAATAAACATCTTTAGAGCTCACAATCAAAGAGTGAGATACTGGTCACCCTCAAAACACCCTACAGCCTCTGCTCAGGCTGGTTTTGACAGCTCACTTTCCCCACCGTTCAAGGGAGCTCAGTCTACAAGTCCCTAGGGAAAATAGTCTGCAGGGCTGTCCCAGGGACGACAGTGCTTCTTCTGGCACCCAGAGTAGAACATGAGAAACTTCCTCAGTGGAAAACGTGTCTGCGATGACATTAACGTTCACCTACAAAGCTTTGTTTTTAAAGATCTGGGAAATATACTTGCAAGAAAGTAAACCTGAAACCAAAGTGAAATTTGGTTTGGAAGTCACTGTTTTGAAGTGATTGAAAAGGAAGACAGAAACGGACAAAAGTGATATCAGACCCTTGATATCACGAGATTGTTTCGCCTGGCCCAAAATGAATGCTGGAATTTCCTTTTGCCAGAAATAATTGCAAGACATTGACACCTACTAGATAAAACTGATATTAAAAAAAAAAAAAGCAAAAAGAGACAAGAACAAAACCCCTCGCTCCTCGCAGCAAACCCCCCTGAAGTCTGAAGAAGCTAAGTTCTTTCCAGCTAAGGCGGCCAATGCAGGAAGCTCACGCCTACACTCAGCTCACATCCACCTCCTGACACTTGCGACCTTGCTATAATAAGTGCTGATCCCCAGCCAGTACATCCAATTTAATGACTACGCTTCTGTGACTGCTGCTGGCTAGCCCCAAGTTCCTGCTCTCCTAATAGGAGCTGACTGATGGGCACGTCATTCACCAGTGGATCTGTTTTTCTGTTATTTACTTTGGACACTCTGCCATTAGGGGTTTAATTCAATCTCAGTCATTTAAGAGCCATTGTGTACTAACAACATGCAGCTTCCTAATCATGTTTTGCCTGATTATGGAGATTTGGGCAAATAGACGCCGGCAGATTAACCTTACAAGTGCTGTCCCTCCACAGGGAAGAAGCAGTAGCATAAATTCCAGCTTGTTATGGACTATTTGTATCTCCCCCCAGTCTCACCTTGCGTTAGTCAGGCTGCCATCTCAGAGGCTGAGCCTCTGAGACTATAACCGCTCAGTACCCTTTATCCTTAGGGCCCAGAAAAAAGGATGGCATTTCGCAGAAGATGACTTATGTTCCTGCCTGTTTTGATAGGCTGAGGTAGTACTGGAGATCACACACGGACCTAGATAAAGGCAATGAAACTATTTATGGCTGGGGTACCTAGGAATCACTTAAACCACCATTTAAAGAAGAGATCAAACTCCTCTCCTATTACTCTTTAGTTTGAGTTATCATCTAGAGGTTCTGAAATAGGAGCAGAGAGCTGGGTAGCAATGACTCCTGCCTTTTATCTCCAAAATCAGAAGCATGTTGTCTTCTTTGATATTCACTCATTCCCTATGCTCCAGACAGCAAATCCTGACAGCTAGGCAAAAGTTTCCAAGAACTGCAATTTTCTACTACATATACACCCCATTTTACAAGTGAGGCAATTGACCCAGTGTCCCAGCAAGCCCATAGCAGGCCATGGCCCTGGTCCTGCCCAGCCCCCTGGGAACCTGGCACAGCCACCGCAGGGAGAGCTGCATACAGTGGCTGCTCTTCAGGATTCACCCTGCAGCACGGTCCATGAGGACGTCTCATTTGCCTGTTTAGTGTCTTTCTTACTAGCCAGGAGCTCTTTGAAGGGGACCTGCAGTGACGCAGCCACCCGTCAGTGAGGAACCCCATGCTGCTGTCCCATGGCAGGCGTGAAATGAGATATTCGGGACTTACAGCTGCCTCCTCACTCCCTGCTCATCCTGCCTGCCTGCCCCACGTTATCCCCTTCCTTCCCTCTCTGCATAGTTTCTCTTGTTTCTGCTGGGTGCTGAGCCCACGGCTTGCCTTGTCCCCACTGAGCCAGGAGCAAAGCAAGCAGGCAAGGGCACGCTCCCTGTGCACGGGCTGCTGCACGAGAGCCGCACCAGGGATGCTGGCTTCACCAGCGAGCACCAAACCAGCCTGGAACAGTTTCATGTGACAACATACCCACAGACGCCTGGGGTGCTGCTGAAGGGGTTCACCCAACCCATGGTGAGCTGGAACATGGAGATGGGGAGTCAAGTCCCAGTGCTGGGAAGGGGAGGGGGACCCAGTGCCACCGAAGGCTTCCTGCAAGCTTCCAGAGGGATGCGGAGGCTCCCCCGTGCCCACCACCTAGTTTAAAACCCAACCCCCTTCCTTGGGGGCCAGGCAGAATAAGCCCTCCTTTCTGATGGAATTTAGGAGAAATATATCTTGGTGGATTTGCCAGTGCCTGAGAACAGGAAAGGGAGACACAGTCACAATATTTTGTGGTGCTGAAAGACAGAACCACAATGAAAATGCTGCAGCATTGCCAATAGACCTGCTCGGCTGCTTAAAAGCATAAGGCAAGAGACCCGGACCTGATCGAGTGTGCCACTTCTGCTCAGAAAGGCCCAGGGCCACATGCAGGGAGGTGCAAAAGCACCTCCTCCTCCCTCCTTCGTGGACTGAAAATGCTGCCCCAGTAGGAAACACGCACTTCTGCCACCAAGGAAGCAGATTAATCAACTGATACCAGCTGGTCAAGTTCTGCTCCAAATACAGGTGTTGTCTAAAACCTCAACGCAGCGCTCATGATGTTCAGACAGTAGATAGACAAGGTTCACTCGTAACCAAGGTTTCCTCCAGCTTTGTGACAAAGAAAGAAGTGAACCCAAGGGGTGTTCAGATAGCGTGACTGACCAAATCACTGCTAGCTTAAACAGAGTCGAGGTCACTCTGCAGCCTACAGAATGGGCTTTTACAGATCACATTTGAGTGTTCAGCAGCAGCAGCCGCCTCCACTTCAACACTTCTGATTAACTTCTTATAGAGCTCAGTACCTAAAATGCTGAGCATTTTGAAATCTGTCCTTCTTCGCGTGTAGGCGGGGGGAGGCGGCAGAAGAGGCTGGATGCATAGATATACTTTATTACATGTCAAGCGCAAGTTGTGGGAAGCGGTTTCAAATGCATAGCAAATGAAGGAAAGAAAGTGATTACAATAAGAGCTGGCTGAACAAACTGTTGTGAATAATTCATCGCAAATTATATTAACTGAACAATCATTCAAATGTATTTTCCATTATTCTGCTTGCTCTGCCTATAATTGAACTGCTCACATACCAAGATGGTGCACATTAATCTTCAATTTATATTTTATCATTTACATCTGGGCTATGCTAAAATGGAAAAAGCTCCCATGACAGCTGTGAAAATAAATCCTAAAATGACCAGGTTTTAAGACATCCTCAATTGCACGTCCTTGGGCAGCCCAAACAGATTCTCTCCCAGTCATGTCCAAGCCTCACTTATTCTCCCTAAAACCTATAAATTAGAGTGAAGACAAAGAAGCCACCCCAAAGGTCTTAAGGAAGATTCAGGGTGGGGTAATCAGCTCTCTCACCTAAAGAGATATTACAGCACTATCATTTTTCACCTGTGTTACCTCCCACCAAGTTTATACTAGAAACAGCTGTTCCAGAAAATTTCCTAAACCAGATGAAGACTTCTTCGTGGAGAAAATGCCTTTGCCAGTGTAGTTCCCCCTACATAACAAACCTACACCATAAAATTCTGGATTCTATTACATTTCCATCTGTACCCAACTTTTGCATACCTAAAGTATTACTAACTCATAAGAGAGAAAGGGGGAAGGGGGACACTAGGGGAAAAAACCTTTCTAATAGGAGGACCCGATTCCTCTGGAAAATATACAGTGCAAGCTGTCTGGATTGAGCAGGCTGGTTTACCAATGTGCTCAGTGTCACATACGCACAGGCACACACACATACAGGCCATTAGTTCTTTTTAATCCAGGTT